CTATATACAGTTGGACACGGTTGTGTCTTATACACTAAAAAGTCTTTTACAAAATAATCATCTTAGAGCAAGAGAAGACCAATCAATCTTCAATGTCGTCCTGCCAGATGTGTTACTTTAGCAATCTCCTCCTAAAAACAAAAACAAAATAGCAATTAGATTTGTGCAACTCTGACAAGCTTTCAAAGGTCCACTTTCATGAATTGTTTAAAGTCCTCACTTTATTCTTTTCTTCAATAATTAAAGATCACATGCATAGTCATTGGCAAATGTGGTTTGGGTAGTAGTTAGGAAATTCACCCGGTTTCCCAAATGACAGCAAATTTAAATCTATTTAGAAAACAATCTGGGAATAGAACTTCCCCATAGCCACAGGTTGAACTGTGCTAGATTAGTCTACTAGAAGTATCTCTAGTAAACCAAGTAAAACGACTTTATGACATACATTTTAGTAAGATTATTGTATTTCAAGGAAAATTGTTGTGTGCATATGATCTTTAATTTATATCCCAGATTTTAAAGTTCTTGTTTTGGTTTGTAGATTTCACTATTAGCTATAAAAAGAAAAAGCAAGCATTAAATCTTAAAGAATGAACACTTAAAATGAGGCTCCACAATTGAAATACAACACTAAACAGAAGACCAAAATGAGTAAGCTGTAAAAAGGCATTTATGTACTTTAACTCCTGTAAAAAACCATTTAAGTTAAGTTTAGACACTTAATCTCCAAAAAGATTAAAAAAAGAAGCCAAAGTCTGAAGTTTTCCACTTTAATCTTTACGCTGGTACATGAAGTTGGAAGAGACCATACCACAGGACAGCGTTTTCTGGTGTATGCCTTGCGCTCTGCCCGCAACGTGCGACCCCCAGAGATAGACGTGGTCAGGGTGACACACGGCCTGCAATGAAGTTCCCGCTGGCGGGTACAAACAAGGTATAATGTCAGAGTTAGAAGACAACATTCGTGTTTTCCTTAAGTTTGTACCCATTTCAGTACTTTACCTGTTAATAGTTCTAAAAATGTTTAATTATTCCTCTAGATCACCTGGTACACAAAGCAAACAGAAAAACTTTTAAGTTTTTCTGTAATACTAAGGAAAGTGAAGTGAAACTTTAAAGTTAAAGATCTATAGACACTTTAGGCAAAACAGGCTTATAAAGCAATTAAAATTTAACAATTTAGTTAAAAAAAAAAGCTACACAATATTGTTTACTTGTTTTTATTTTGTCTATTGATCTTTAAATTAAATTAGGTATTTCCACTGGTGCCTCATCCTCTTATACACACCTGTGTTCTCCAATGCCCTCCTTTAGTATGGCTGGTAATTGTTTTGGTGATTGCCTCCCCCTCGAGACGCCTTGCCGTAAGTGCTCTGTTGGCCTATTTCGTAAGACAAAAAATCATATCAGGATAATTTTTATGAAATGATTTCATTATATAAGTATACTTACGTATTAAAAGTATAAAACTACATGTCAAATAGGAAACAAGATTGTAATAGCCATTATAAACTAGTCATATATCACATATTCTTGAACATTTATAACCAGAACTTTTATATTAGTAAAATCACTCTATGACTATCAATTGCCTTGAAAACATAACTCAAAGCATTTCATTAAAGGGGAAACACAATTTTAGAATGAGATTATAATTTAACACTGAATTTTGATACCATTGATTATAAAATTAAGTTAAATATTCTTACCACTGTAGTCTGCATATCCCTGTCCATATCCATAGTTCCCATAGTTATACCCAGTATAATCATAGCCGCCATAGCCACTATAGTTTTGATCACCACCATAGGCACTATTGTAATTTCCATATCCTTGATCATAATAGTTATTAAATCCTTGGTTCCAGTTTTGGCCCTGACCTGAAACAATGCACAATGATTGTTAGGAAACAACTTTTGGACCTGTCTCTCCCCAATCCTAACATAAAATGATGCATCCTGTCTCTTCCTCTGCTAATCTTAAGCAGAAAGGATGTCTATATCACTGACTGAAAATTACAAAAAGGGGGCAGAAAGTTCACTTATGCTAGTATCATGCTTCCTAAACTGAATGGAAAATCAGAACAAAGGTGGAGAGAGGTAGACCATCTAACTTTAAAGCAAGAATTCCTAGGCCCTGGCCAGGTAGCTCAGTTGGTTAGAGCATCATCCCAATTCACCAAGGTTGCAGCTTCAGGTTTGAACCCGTCAGGGCACATACAAGAACCAAACAATGAATGAATGTATGTATGAATGTGTGGAACAAACAGGTCAATGTTTCTCTCAGTTCTAAAAATCAATTTAAAATTTAAATCAAGAACTCCTTCCAAGCAAACATATCACACACCATGGTGTACAGTGTAATCTTCACAACAGTTAATAGGATTTTTCTACCAGTGATGACAGTCTCATAGCCATTCTTGAAAAGGTGAAACCAGTCAACAACACAACAAAACTTCACCCACTCAACCGAGCATTTTCCTGAAGCAAGCTATATCTGATTTTACTTTCTCATGTCTTTACTTTTTCATATTTAGCAGTTTATAGCTTAAACAATTATCAACTCATTTTCCAAGAATTCTCACCTCGGCCTCGACCCCTAGTACCACCTCTTCCGCCAGCTGAAGCACCTCTTCCTCCCTTTTGTTGTTGCTGTTGCTGCCTATATACCTCTTTGGGTTGGGCAACTTTGATTTCACACTATAGACAAAATTTAAAAAGCAAACAAGATTGAGAAATAATTTCACTAAAAAAACCCCAAAACTCAAAACCCCCACTTAATAGAATTAAAATGGCTTTACCTTCCCAGAACCAATTTGATGATATCTGCTTTCTAACAATTTCTTTACTGGCTCCTCATCTGTGTATGTGATAAAACAAAAACCTCTTCTTTCATTTGTTTTTGTATCCATGGGAAGTTCAATATTTTCAATCTGAAATTAAGAAGCACACTCAAGATCATCCAGTAATGGCAAAAAGCTACCAAAAGGTCTTAGAAAGCCACAGGTCCTTTGCAAACTTCAACATAACATGGTATTCTAATCTGATGACTTCTGTCTAGAGACTACTACTACTACTGCTAGTTGATTTATCTGTTAAGGGAGAGCAAAGCTTCCTTTATTTAAGACCTTCTCATACCCTACAGGTGCCACTAGTTAAAAGTCCAAACACTGACCACACCAAAGCATCCATGTTTTCTACAAAATAAATTAGAAATTGGTTTGCATTACAGCACAGAAAGCAGTGATTCAAGTGTGGCGACTGGAAGGACCCCAAGCAGTAATTTAATCCCCTCTTCACCTGACATATGAATTTATTCTGGAAGAAGTGGGTCAGGGATGAATATTATGTAAACACACACACACAATCACATAGCGCACCTCTCCAAAGGCTCCAAAGTATTCTTTAATCTGTTCTTCAGAAGTATCTGGGCTCAAGCCACCAACAAAAACCTTTTTGGGGGGTTCCTTCCCTTTTAAAGCTTTGGCCCTTTTGGGATCTATCAATTTGCCATCCAGTTTGTGTTCCTTCAGTTCCAAAACCTGGAAGACATATTTATTTAATCTGACAGCAACGTACAATCAATCCCCAACCAGTTTGCAAAAGGCATACAAAAGTATCATCATGCAAAACCCATTCCTACCTTATCCACACTAGCTGCATCTTTGAAAAGCACAAATCCAAATCCTCTTGATCGTCCAGTGACGGGATCTGTTTTAATTGTGCAGTCTACAACTTCCCCAAATCGCGACAAATATTCAGTCAGATCTTTCTTGCTCGTATCCCAGCTCAAACCTCCAATGAACATTTTACTAGAAACAAAGTTTTTTTTTTTAAAGGTTAGCAGCGGGTTTACCTATAAAGTACGGGCCGTTTAATCCCCCACCCCCTACCCCAGTGCAAGTAATGTAACCCATGTTTTCAGAGACTCATTGTATCAACAGACCACAGCGATTCCAAAGTCCCATCGAGGTCACTTTACTCCAAACACCTTACAGCGTTGCTCTCCCACACCGCATCACGCAAAGTTTTAAACGAGGGCGAGGCCAACAAAAGGTTAAAAACATCGCTACTTTGGAACATGCAGCTTCCTAAACCAGTCCCTCACAACGGAGGTCCGTCCACCTCCTTCCTCAGCCATCCGGCCAATGTTCCACCCAACCAACTCCGCAGGATGATTTCTGGGGATCCGGTGCACCGGCGCTCGCCGGCTCCCAAACCGAGAGCGAGCTCGCTAAGCTCGGCCCGGGAGGGCCGCGTGGGGCCCCAACAGACACAATGAGGCGGCGGCAGCTGCAGCAGGCGGCGAAGCCAGCGGCCCCTCCCCCACGGCCCACGCGGCGCCTGCGCACTCGGGGCCCGGACGCCGCCGCCCTCCGCCTCCAACCCCTCCGCCCGCCCTTCCCCCACCGCCGCGGGCCTCTCGAGTCCTCCCCCTCCGTCTCCTACTTTCCTCTTCTCTCCGAGCTAGCGGGGCCCCCGCGGGCACGCGGGGAATCGACTCCGGGCAAGAATGTGGACGGCGCGGGGCTCTCGAGGAACGAAGGGCGCGCGCGGGGGAGGAAGGGGAGAAAGAGGGGAGCAGCGTGCGGTACCCGTCATCCTGCTGATTCTTGCTCGCGTTGATCTTGGATCCCTCTGCGAACTCCTCCGTGTTGCTGTACTCGTTCACGTCCTCCATGGCGGCGGCGCTGTCAGCCGGCGGGTGCTGGCGCGCAGTTCGAGTAGCGGCGGCGGCGGCGGCGGCGGAGCGTTGTATGGAGCCGGATTTAAAATGGCGGCGGAAGAGGTCCGGGCGCCGCCTGCGCCCTCCCTTTATAGCCGCCCCGCCCGCCAATCGGGAGGGCTGCTGGGCGGTGACGTGGCGCGGGCCCCGGCGCGCCCCCTGCCGGGCGGTGCCGGCAGCGAGCGAAGGGAGCAGCGGCGCCAGCTGCCGCGGCGGCCGAGGCCGCCAATGGGAGAGGCTGCGGGAGGCTAGAGTGGCGGGCGCCGAGGGGAACAATGGCGGCGGCACATGGGAGAGCCGGGGCGGGACCTCCATCGCGGCCCTCCGGTGGTGAGGAGCGAGGTCGCGGGCTCTCGGGAGGAGAGAAGCGTCGGAAGCGAAAAAACGAAGGGGCGAGAAATCCTGGGTTCACAAATTCCCGAGCAGCAGCGCCGTCGCAGGGCCGAGTTCCTCTTGCCTGGAGAGCCTTTGTCTCTGGCGTCCGGTCCAGCCCACTCCTAGCAACAGCTGTCCACCCTGCCTTCCTCCGCCCTCGGCACCCCCGCGCGGGACTGCGGCGGCGGCGGCTGCTCCCGATGAGCTCCGCAGCCGGCCTGCTCCAGGAAAAGGCGTCCTGCGCCCGGCACCGGCGGATGAGGCGGCGAGCGCGCCTGCCGTCGCCGCGCGCAAGCGTGTTGGGTCCCCGCTCCGGCTGGAACCCGCCGACAGGAAGCGGCGCGGCGGCCCCTGCGGGCAGCGGCGCCTCTTCCGCTCCTGCTACCCGGGAGGGGGCGGCGGGCCTCCCGAGCCGATCGGCCGGAACCACCGCAGTCAGACCCCCCGGGGCGCCGCGCGGCCTCTTTGGCTGGCCGAGGACGGGAAGGAGGGGCGCAGGCCCGATTAGATTACAGTAAATATGCAAACGCGGCGTGGGTGGGCGGGGGTGGAGGGGTGAGGAAGGACTAGTAGGTGTCGGAGAGGGCAGGGGGCACTCACGTCCCCGGCGCGCCACTCGCGGGCTTCCCGTCGGCACGTGCCCCGGCCTCTCCGGCTCGCCTAACCTGTCTGCGGGGAGCGCGCGCCCGCCCGCGCTCTCCGCTCCCGCGCTCGCTTTGTTCCCGCCCCCCCCCGCGAAGCCCGACTTGACGGACGGGTCGGAGGCCCTCTGGTGGCCAGTCGGCGTCGCTGCCTTGTGCTTGCCCCGCCCCCTCAGGGCCCCGCCGCCCCGCCCCTTTCAGACCCACGTGGTTCCGGCCCCGGACCGCTCCCCAGTTCAGGCCCCTCACTCGGTGGCCTGCTCCACTGTCGGTGGTGTGGGGGTGCCCTCTTCCCCCTCGGGTTCAGGCCGCACGTGGTTCGACCGCCCCGAGGTTCCCAGGGAGCTTTTCCGGAAGCCCAGGACGGTGCTGGGCGTGCAGTCGGCGCCGCCCTCCTGTCCAGCAGGCCGGTTTCCGTGGTCGCATCCGGTAGGGAGATGGTCGTGCTCTCGGTGCCAGCCGAAGTCACGGTGATCCTGTTAGATATCGAAGGTACCACCACCCCGATTGCTTTCGTGAAGGTGAGGGGCTGAAGGGAGCGGGGAAGTGTTTGTGCCTTAAAACGACTTTACAGTATTGTGGACCGTGCACCAGAGACAGGAGAGGCAGGAGAGGCGGGGTGGCTCTGCACCCACCGAGGGGTGGGAGCAGACAGGCTGCAGCCGGTCGCGGGGCTGCTTGTTCTCCCAGCACCACGTTACCCTGCCCCGTCCCTGCCCTTGGTTAAGTGCGGGTAGATGGGAAGGGATGGAGGTGGTGGCGGAAAAGGGCGGTGGAGGGAATGGTCCCTGCTCCGCCCGCCTGCGGGGCAGGTGAGCGCATTTTGCTTGATGTCACCTGGTGTGGCGGCTATTGCAGGTATCCCTGATTTCTTGTGCTTTGTCCTATAACCTACTGATTTTATTAATATTAAATATTAATCGGATGCAATATTAACTTGTTATATATTAATTCATCGGAATCAATGTCTCTTAAAGTATTTTCATCCAAAAGTATGTCCAGAAGAACATTAGGTCTATATGCTTATACTCATTATGCAAAAAAGGTTTTATTATTTAAATGCACTTTTGGGGAAGTGTTCTGTACATGTTGAACCAGCTTTATACTAAATACTAACGATTATAGAGCCTTTATATCATACACATCCACACACACATATATGCTTTGTGAGTCTTCAAGAGAGCATTTCCTAAATTTAGCAAAAATAGTTCTATCTTTTGAACTCCTTTTACATTCTTCTTCAATCTCTGAACATAGAGCTTGGAATTGGGGATTAGTCATAGTAGGTGTGTGAACTTGCGCTGTTTCCTGTGGAATATGAAAGGATACACAGTACTGTATACATGTGACTTGTACACTTGACTCATCCTCAGAAGTCTAGCTGTTCCCATTTTACTGATGGGAAACTAAGGCTCTGAGAAATTGAACAATATGCCTGGTATTTGAACCTGTATTATCTGGCTCAAAACTCATTTTCCATTACTGAACTTGATTTCTGAAAAGGAAATCAAGTTCAGAAATCAAGCAAAGACAGAACAAGCCATTCTTGTTCTGTCTTTGCTTGGCTGCTGTGTATGTTAAATGGTACTGTTAAATGAGATTAAACAATATGAAGTACCATAAAAGCATATTGTAACAAATTTCAGCTTACATTATTATAATGAGTCTTAATGTATTTGAGGGTTTGGTTCTACTCTCATTGTATACTGTGAAAGTTGAGTATTGTTAAAAATTGTCCTTGAGTCGAAACTCGTTTGGCTTAGTGGATAGAGCATCAGCCTGCGGACTGAAAGGTCCCAGGTTCGATTCTGGTCAAGGGCATGTACCTTGGTTGCCGGCACATCCCCAGTAGGGGGTGTGCAAAAGAGGCAGCTGGTTGATTATTCTCCTTGATGTTTCTAACTCTCTATCCCTCTCTCTTCCTCTCTGTAAAAAATCAATAAAATATATATATTTAAAAATTGTCCTTGAAATATCCTTAGGAAGTCAGCCTTTGGAGGCTGATTTCCATTTTCAGTGTCATTTGCAGCCTTTTTTCCTTAGGGTTGAAATAATCCCTGCTTCTTCCCTTGAGCACCAGAGAAAGTAGAGAGACTGGAGAAATGAGAGTGTCCCAGGGAATAGAACGCCCTCATTTAGTGGAATGGCAGCAGATTGCCAGCACGGGTTACGGTTATGCCTCTCTCTCTCTCTCTCTCTCTCTCTCTCTCTCTCTCTCTCTCTCTCTCTCTCTCTCCCCCCCCCCCCCCCCCCTCTCTTTCCTCTTTGTTTCTTTCTCTTTGCTGAGCAATTACAGTTGACTAAACTACATAAGATAACACTAACGGTCTAGGATCTCTTAAAGAATTCCATAGAACCCTAGTCGTTTTGGCTCAGTGGATAGATAGAACAACAGCCTACCAACTGAAGGGTCCCGGTTCCATTCCGGTCAAGGGCACATGCCTTGATTGGGGGCTCTATCCCAGTAGGGGTGTGCAGGAGGCAGTGATCAATAATTCTCTTGAATCATTTGATATTTCTCTCTCCCTCTCCCTTCCTCTATAAAATCAATAAATACACATTAAAAAAAGAAAAAAAAAGAAAAAAAAGAAAAAGAATTTTATAGAATGCTTCTAATCTGGGAAGTGGTGTTCTGTGGACAGTCTGTTGCTGGATCAGTGCATGCCTCAGCCTTTAGACTCCAGGCAACAGCACACACTTGTTTTACTTACCAGCTATTATGTCTTTTTCACTGAATCATAGAATTGTCAAATTTCTAGAGCGGAAAGGCCGGCTAGCTCAGATTGTTTGGTGAGTGTTAAAACCAGCTAATTAATTTCTTCCGTGAGTTAATCGATGCCTGTAGGAATGGCCTGTGTGAGGATCATCACAGCTTAGAGCAGAGCAGCAGTAGAACCCAGATTTCCATAGATGCTCTCAGTGCATCTGAGTCATCAAAGTCACCAGCCTTTCTCCTCACTGTAGGACATGTGCTCCTGGAATTTGTTTTGAGTTATTCACTCTGATCCTTTACAGTGGTGATCTCCCAATTTTTTTTTGATCTTGTACATCAGCAGAAATGGAACAGGCACTACCAGTCAAATTTATAAACTGTGTATCTATATTATACTATTACTAAGTTATAAAATAAATTGGAATTTAAAGATGAGATTAATAAGTATAAATAAATGTTATTTCCTTACCCCATTGATTCATTTGCATGCACTCCTTAGAGCCACTTCTTTTTTTTAAAAATATATTTTATTGATTTTGTACGGAGAAGAAGGGAAAAAGACAGAGAGTGAGAAACATCGATGAGAGAGAGTCATCGATCAGCTGCCTCTGGCACAACTCCCACTGGGGATATGCCCGCAACCAAGGTACATGCCCTTGACCGGAATCGAACCCCGGTCCCTTCAGTCCCCAAGCCGATGCTCTATCCATTGAGCCAAACCGGTTTCGGCTAGAGCCACTTCTTGATCTTTATGGGGAGATAATACTCATTTTCTAACTTTGTGCATTGCATTATTCTAATGTTTTTAGTCTGTATGCTATGAAATAACACTATCATCAGTCCCTGTGGTTATCCTCTCTGAAACCTACAACTACTGTTTGACTTTGGGGAAAATAATCTTTTGTTCCAGAAAATGGTCTATAATTTGGTGGCTTGCTTGTTGCTACCTGTTGAGTTGGAAGTAGTTATGTTCTGTGAAATCACTGAGAACGATGTTAGCAAATACTATAGAGAAAATACAAGGTTAGGTTTATTTGAGTCTCTGGTCACAACATTTCCATCAACTGATTAATACATAACCTTGTTTTATGTGTTTCTGTTATATATGTTCTTATTTTATTAACATTGAACTCATGGCCAGTGTAACTTATGCTTTAACAAAGCTTATCCAACATTTATTTTCTACATAAACACATCAGTTTTCTTGCACTTAGGAACAGTAGACAGTGCTTGGTCAATTTTAAACTGCACAATCATCAATAAAAGGCACAATATATAAAGAGTAGAGGCCCCTCGGCCTGGCCTGTGGGTATCAGTGGACCTCCGTGCTGCTGCAACCCAGCCTTACCCACCAGCTCGGCGGGCTCAGCCCACGTCGATCCCGCGGGAAGTGGCAGGTGCTGGGGAGGAGCCCGAGCCCCGGCTGGCGCTGTGCTGCTCCGGCTCATCCCGGCCCCACTGTGCCTGCTGCTGGGGACTTTCCGGCCCACTGGGGGAGTGTCCTTGGGCAGTGGCAGCATCTGGCGCCTGTCTGTCACCTGAGTGGTACTTCCGCTGTGGGAGTGCACCGACCACCAGGGGGCAGCTCCTGCATTGAGTCCTGCCCCCTGGTGGTCAGTGTGCATCGTAGCCATGGGCCACTTGTCCAGTTGCTTAGGCTTTTATATATATACCATGTTTCCCCGAAAATAAGACATCCTCCAAAAATAAGACCTACTTACAGGTTTCCTTCTGAGTGAAATATAAGGCATCCCCCCAAAAATAAGCCTCCCCAAGCTAAACATGAGATTTGGTCCACTGATTCTGAAAGAAATGGAGTCATAAGAAATTCACCAGGAAATTCAGGAATTGGATTGTTATGATGATGTTCCAGAAGATGATGACATGATTGTCATTGAATAAATGAGATACTGTAGGATTCTTGACACTGTAGGATTCACAGTTTGTCTGGTTTGTGCTGACAACTACCATACTACCGTACAGTATACAAGTAATAAATTTCCTTTATTTTCATTTAACAATAAATGTGTACCCTATTCTTCATGGAAAAATAAGACATCCCCTGAAAATAAGACCTAGTGCATCTTTGGGAGCAAAAATTAATATAAGACACTGTCTTATTTTCGGGGAAACAGGGTACTAGAAGCCC